ACGAACAGGTTTTGGAGATCACGTTGGTACAAGGGACTAAACAAACATCTACATATTCAAAACAAATCGTAGTTTTAAGGCCGATGTTTTGGAATTACTGCATGACTCTCAGTCACAAAGAGGTGCACGGCTCCCGTTTAACACAATCTCAACAATCAATCAGCCACCCGATGAAGAAGTCAATGGGCCTTGACAATATGTGCCTGTCATATCACCGCCTCTAATGCATTAAGCCCTGATGCTTCTGAGAGACAGCCAGGTGCTCCTCTCTCTCAGATGTAGTGACAGCCTATTGTCCTATTGTCCAGCACCCTGCCTGTGACAATTCAGATGGAAAATGCAAAACCAATCGCGTTATAGATGCAAATGCGAGGGAAGCGCGACTTTGCGAAGAAAGAAAAACAGGAAATATGCCTCAATATTTGTTATACAAAATGTGTTTAACAAACTGTGTGATTTTATATGTAATTATAATATCGGATAGTTTTATATTTAAACCGGCAAAAATGTTGATGTTATTGCATTTATTTATATTGTTTACTGTATACTTTAATGCAGAATATATCACATTAATATCTAATATTGTAGAAAGATGTCGTAGAAGTTGTTTATTTGTTCTCTTTCAAAGAAAGCTCCCAGGCTAAAAACATTTTATTAATGTATTGAAGTTATAAAACAATCATCTTATAACTCGTGTTTTTATTCTAATATCCTATGATTAAATAGCTTTCATATTACAATAAACAATGGATATGAATTTTCTCCTTTAATGCAGAGTAAAATATTTTGCTGTTATTAAAAGTAACACCAATATGGACAGTAAAGATACAGGTTACATTGCAGCAATTGCATGTGTGTTTTTTCAGGCATCATATCGCAACACACTGTTAAGCTGTCTGGGCATTTTGCATGGAGGAATTATCCCTTATAGTTTAACGAGTTTTGAGTTTGTATGAGTTTCTGCTAAGCAAACAAAATGAAAACGTAGTGACGTATGTTTATGAACTGAAGCCACTAATGACAAACGTCATACCAGGCTCTCTTAAACTAAGCTGTAGAGTATTAGGGAAACAAAATAACCATTTTAAACACACTCAATTTTCATCAGTATTTAATTCAGCCTCTTAATTCTGCAAAAAACAATCTTATGACCACTGCTAGTGGTCAAGCTATCGGGCTTTGGGAACGGTGCTTTGTTCAGTGAAATAATTGTGTACAGTCATAGTCCCCAGAGGATGAATACGAATGATTGGCTATTCCTCTAGCGCCACACTGAGGTTGACATTTTAGGTCGTAATTTGAATGTCTAGACAACTATTGAATGGATTACAAGGTTGTTTTCTTTGTGCAAACATTGGTGATGCTGAGAAGATGAATCTTCATCACATTTTATGATTTTCAAGGTCCAATGAAACCGATTGTTTGGTACACCGTTTTAAACAGGCATTCATGGTCCCCAGAGGCTCCTGCAGACTTTGTTAGTCCTCTGACCTTTCCTCTAGTCCAATCATCAGGTGGAAATTGGGAAATTGGGACTTTGAGTCGACTGCCTTAGCCTTATTCTTACTAACCCATTGCATTAGCATTTCATTCCACTTTATTTTATTACCTGTGCACTGTTGTCTTGTCTGTCTACTGTCGCGCACTAACCGCCAAGACAAATTCCTTGTATGTTTGACATATTTTGGCTAATAAATGTTTCCTGATTCCTGATTCCTCAACACTTTTTTTGTGCACATTATTTGTGGGACCCGGACAATGTTAGAACAATTTTGGCAAACCCGTGTGGGGGTTTCATTGAGGTTGGAGTTTGCGTCTGCCTGCAGACACAAACGGATGTTCTCTAGTGTTTTGCAGCACATCTAGCCGACACAGCGCGACTGAAGCACACAGTCTGGCTGTGAACTCGCTGACAGATTTATGAGGGGGAAGTCCTCTGTTCAGACACAACTTTGCACTGATGAGAGAGAGCGCAGACACTGCAACATGCTGACGCAGTGCTTGTGCTCTCTCCCTCATTAGGGGATAGCTGTGTAAAGCTTTTACACAGATTTTCTCCATTCACCTTCCCTAATTATGAAACCTGATTAAATTGAATGTGAGATCATGGCAGTTATACTGAGCCAATAAACACGAGGCCGAAGTGCTTTGTGGGAATATCGTAGGACATTACACCGATGATAGATGAATTCATGGGGGATAAAAAAAGAAAACTTATTTTACTCCGTGATAGGAAAACTACAATCCTCCCACACACACTTTCAGTATTATAAGCGTAAAGGAACAATACACGAGAATTACTTGAGAGTCCACCCACTCAGTGTGTTTACGGTCATTAGCGAAGGACCTCAATCTGACACGCAAACCAGTGGCGTAAAACATTTGCAGTGGTTGTTAATCACACAGCAGACGAGTCCATACTCTGCTTACGTCCTGCTGCTGCTGTGATTGTCTTTTCTTTTCTCCCTTCCAGAAAAAAATCCACCCGAGCTACGCCAAAATTGGATTTTTTGCCAGGGGAAAAATCTGGCTCTTATTAACCGGGTCCTCCATCATGAATCAAAAAAGCACGCCACAACGTAGTCAAAGCGCAGCTGTAAAACAGCCTTGATAAAAATGACCGACAGGCATTACGTCTGTTCTTTTTTCATGTTCACTGATCCATATTCAAACATCATTACCAAGCTAATGCCAACAAACAAGAAAAAAGGATTCCAGGTTTTATCCAATGCAAGTTCCCTAAAGACAGAGAGTCAGTTACAACTTAATATTCATATGCTTCTTATACATATATAACTAATGATCTGTTAAGGGTTTGAGATTAGTGGTTCTCAATGAGATTTTCTGAAATCATTGATTGCTATAAAACACCAAGTCAAGAAAAATACAGAATGAAAATATTCACAACAATGCAATTAATTAGCAATTCAATCCCAATTTGATAGAGTGCAACTAACAAAAGAAACATGCGTGACAGTAAAACAGACATACGTGCATTTTAAGTTGCAGAGCATCAACAGAAACAGTGCATAGACTGTTTCCGGGCTGAGAAAGCATGTTTCACATTTAAACTCATACAGATGACTTTTAGTCTATTGATTTGTGTCGTATTTTCTGTGCCTGCAGTAGGAAACCCTCTCTCTCATTTCTTGGTTCATTCTTGCTCAAGGACATTAGTTGCACAGCTAAAAGTCTGCCAGGGGCAAGAAAAGAGGAGCTGGATGTGTGCCACAGCGCTGGGGTGCAGGACCACAGCAGTGTGTCTTTCAGGGAAAATTACAGATAAACACTCACCGCTGAGAAAGAACCTAAGAACCTCTGCTGGGTTGGTCAAATGTTTTTGTTCCAAAAAATATAAATAACACTACAGGACAAGCCCAATCCTTTGTCGAGGATGTGGACGCGTGAGGACAGACACAGAGGGGACAAGAGGAGTCACGGTGCTGAGAACTTAAAGTTGTAGACTGAAGCCTATCCTTGCTTTATCCCCTTTTGGATCACGTTAAGCTCAAGGATAAGACGAAGAGAGGGAAGATTGGATATTCCACTCAGGAACCCCAGCGAGGTGTCTCCCTGGAACACACCTATAGCAGGTCTAATGAATAGAGAGGACTTTTTTTTTCTAAATGAATAAAGTAAGGCCTGTTGTCTGATTTTTGGGGGTTTACATCTTCACTTTATTTCGGTGACATTTTACTCAAGAGATTTCTAGGCATTATGTCCTCTCTCTGGGCTGACAAAATGTGTGCTTTTCCAAACAACGGTCTCAATCACAACAGAATACCAGACGGTTTCACTCCCTAATTATGGCTTCATTATGCTGTGTAGAGATTTTTCTTCCGTGGATTTGATCCTCTCATTTCCTCTCATTGAGTGTGTTATCAATTCCCATCACTATTCACAGTGAGACTATGTGCAGCTTTATGACACACCATTTTCAATTAGGAGGATCCTGTGTATGGTCACTGAGATGGCCTTTTGCACATTGCCAACATCATTACCGTGCACCGTCCAGCGGTGAGTCAGCACACATAATAGATGCACTGTCAAATAAGAGTCGTTCTCTGAGCGGTGAGAAAGAAGCATAAACAAGGTGTACGTGCACAACAGCGTGTGAAATGCAGTTTCACATGCAGAGACGGCTCGTTTTTCTAATTGTATATTGAAATCATGTCTAGGTGTTTCTATTATTTGGACTTTTGATTAGCTCTGGGCTGTTATATGAATTTAATCAGGTGATTATTCTTGGCCTGCAGGCTTAACAGAAAGGCAGACATCTTGTGTTCGGAATAAGAAATATGTTCATTCATTGCAGTTTATCTTAAGTTGAATATTTTTACACCTGCCAAACTGAAAATATCTGAACATAAAGACACAGTGCTGACAAGTGAATTTTTTGGTTTAAACATTTTCCCACAAGACAGAGAAGGGAATCATTTGCTGGACCACCAATGGCCCCCAGATACATTCTGGCTGTTGAACCGAACCAGGTAGAAGCCGCTTTCCTGGACACATTTAAATGATCAGCGTTTTGGCAAGAAGCCGAAAGAAGTATTCCAAAATATATGTCCACAATACATGGTGATTATCACCGCTTATGTCATGTTGTGATTTGATGTCTCACCATTACAGTGCTCTGATTATTGGCGTTGATGTTATAATAAGCTTCAGTTATACTATTCATGAGATAAATGTTATTTAAGGCCAGAGCTGCTCTGCATATGTTGTGCAGGTGCAGTGGGTTCTCCAAAACACACGTCTGAACCAATATTCTAATTCTTGTCACACAGTATAACTTCACCACGCAAAATAGCACCACGTGGCTGATATATTCAGATATGAATTAGAGCAGATTAACTCACTCAGCTGTGGATCAGGAAGCATTTGTCCCAAATTGCTTGAACTATGTGTTGGCGACAGTTCAACTGAACTTATTCATACACACATACCCTCAGTTGTATCAATGGAACAAAAGGTTAATGTAATGATATTGTGCTTACCTGCAAAAAGTAACACCGCCGACTGGAGTGCAAGGATATGCAACATGTTTCTTTGAGTCTGTAGGCAAATATGAATTCCCCCCAAAAATAGATGGAAGTCGAAATGTCTTAATTAAAGTCCGTCTTGCAGTAGGAATTGAAAAATCCTTTTTTCAGGTAAAAATATCTTATGCCTCATCTGGTCATTTTCAAATGAAAGAAAAGCATAGTGCATATGACCAATTGAAGCGAAAGCCTCTTCACCTGCGTCTTATCTAGTTGTTTCTTTCCGGAAAAAGAGAAGAAACTTGCGCGCCGCTTTGCATCACTCTTTGAAGCATTTCCAGAAGAGACACTCAGGCGCCCGATGGAATGAACCAGTGTTGCTTTACATCTTCACAACGGTTCTCCGAAAACAGTTTTCTCCCCAAACAGACGAATGGAAAACATCTCACTCCCTTGTCCTCACTTCGTCACTTTGTCTCCGCTTCACCAGCCACTTGGCTGCTCTGCAGTGCGTAAAGCGCGACACTTGGGCATGAACCGAAGCGGTCCCCCACCCCCACCCCCCGTTTCCCCCCGCCGCCCCCCGACACTACGTACGGTATAGTATATAAAAGTAAAGACGTTTAAATTCCCACACAGGTCAGCGTATCCACACCCGGGCCACTCCGGAGCGAAACTCCAGCGGCGCGCAGCAGAGCGCGCGGAGCTCTGGTTCCGGAGCCAAACGTGCCGGCGTCCACTTCTAATTCCACTTTGGCACCCGGTGCTTCAAAATGATGTGCGAAAGTCCGCTTTCAAGCTTTCGATGTTTAAATAGACAGGAAATAGGCGACAGTTTCACTGGAGCTTACGCACCGCAGCCGTCCAATGCGCGTCGAGAGAGAGAGAGAGAGAGAGAAAGACAGAGAGAGAGCGAGAGAGAGAGAGAGAGAGCAGAAGGACGCCGAGAGCTGTGACAATAAGTGGCACCGACACACATGGAGAGGCTCGGGGCGCCTCAGCAACGCGCCGTTGTCCGAGGAAGGGGCGGGAATACTCATGCGTATGCGCGCCGTTGACCAATTTAATTCACCTTCAACCCAAAAGGCGTCTCAAGGACAGTTCTACCTCAGATAAGACGTGTTTTAACTCTCTTTTCATAGATATTCTTTCCTGGAGAAATGCCTTTCCCTTCCCCACCTTTACCGCTGCCCTCTGTGCACGAAAAAAAAACAACCCAGAATGACTTCAGAAGTTGTTGTTCGAACATGTCCAGTTGATTGCGTGATTACACCACCCGACATGCACCAGTGACCCCGTGTGGCCTGAACTGAACACTGATACCTGTGAAGCAGGAGGACAGAAAGCAAAGGACCCTGTCGGGCGCTGCAACGATCCAATAAGAAACCACGTGACGCATGCAAATCCCCAGTTCGTCGAGCTGTGGTGTCTTTTCTGTAATTGAGCTCCTCATTGTTCATTTATTTTAACACACATAGTCCTACGAGAGGCCATGAATGACATATTCTCAATCACAGCATGCGTCTCCAATGTCACCACCTGCACTTTAGATGCTCTTTTCATAAGGTAACATCGTGCCCTGAACATGAAATATGGAGCGGTACTGCCGCTGGCAGATGTGTCTCTACGGCCGTATCATCTCTGATGCAGCTTCATACGTTACTTTAAACAGCGATGTGGTCGTTTTTGAACAACTCCAAAACGCGACTGTTGCTTCAGAAGGACAAATGAAATGCAATATGGTTTAGTACTGTCATCTGGTAATTGATTACACCGGGAGCCAGGATTTTAGTTTTCTTGTGGGTAGTCCAGGTGGTCAGAGGGAAAAAACAAATAAAAATCCACGAATGCTAAATACAGAAACATTAGATGAGTCACCCACCAGTCTAATCATTATTTTCATGAGAGTTTGTTGCATAGCTTTGCCTGCCTGCCATGCTGTGATCACTGCAAGCGAGGATCTAACATTCTGTTGCTTTCTACTTTAATAGTGAGAAAGCGGCTCATGCTGTCCTGAGATGTAATTAATGTAAAGTATGATTCCACAATGGAAGATCATGTTTATCAATCCCACACTAAAGGCGACAAATACTAACCTCACCATTTTATTACAAAAATGATGTGTACAATAATACTTAATAAAGAGATATAATACATGTTCTGATTACAGCACAAACACAAATTGTACATACTTTAGTTACATGCAAATAGCTTGCAGCTCCTACTTTAAACTAATCTCACATGTCAGTCCACTTTCTCACAAGCCAAGCTTCAGTACATCGGCAAAAGGCCGGTGAAACAGGAATTAAATCACCCAGATCACTACTTACATTCACAGAAACAGTGTGAATACTACTCCCTTAAGCTCCGGTGAAGATGTTTTTGGAGGTAAGAGCAGGTTTCAAACCCTCTCAAACACTAAATCATAGTTACAGCCCAAGCATCTGTCCTTACTTAAGGCATCCTTTCTAGTTCACTTCGAATTCCATTTGCTCCTGAAGGAGCCGAGCTTTTGCTCCCCCCTAAATTTGTGCAATTTGATCGTGGAAACTATTCCACTCTTGTACAGCTGGAAGAAGCATTAGGAGTGTTGATGTAGAGCAGTCACTTCCCTAGCTGTAATGGTTGAGCTGGCACATCACTCACACAACGGCCGGTCGCTGTCCAAAAGCAGCCCGTCTGTAGTCTGACTCTCCAAGCAATCCCCCTGAAGCCCTCACCACACTGCAGGCCGTTCCACAGATGGAAATCAGAGCGAGCGCCAGGATGGCTCGGGTTACATCGCCTGTGTGGCGTCCAGTCATTAAAAAGAAGTAGCTGAAACCCTGTCAGTCCTGCACATGGTAAGTTCATTTCCTCGGCCTTGCTGTAAAAACTCACCATCCCTTTCCGTCCTGAATATGATGAGTCACATTGTATTAGGAACTCTTTGTCTTTGAAATAGGTAGAGCAGTTCTAAAAGAACTGTAGGTGTCTTGACTTGCGCGACGTTTAGATGCGCCGACCTTTTCTGCAGGCAGGTCGCGCGACTTTGATGTCTGAAGAAAGCGATCAGGTCTTTGATGTCTGAAAAAAGATCTGGAAGCTTACACACCTTGAAACCGGGCCGAAGACGTAAATGTCAGATGCACGCACATGCAACACATTGCATTTCCCCTGTCGGACATCGGGCTTCAGATTTTACCTCGGAATGTTTGCACGTTTAGTTTCCTGCAAGAGAAACTTCCTGGTAATCTGGGCTACATCTACATTGTGGTGTGTTCCTATATTAAGAGTAGCATAAGGGTAGATAGATACACACTTAAAGGGGGTATTTTTGAACCACCCCACTGCCCCCCAGCGACCTTCCGTCCTGTAAGCCCCTGTGGTACATACCATGCTCCCCTCTATGATGAATTGTCCCCTGTGTCTCCTTTTTGGGGTGGTATCCTTCATCTATGACCTTAACCGGCCTCGCTATGTTGTCCTGCAGTCGGATGGTAGACAGCAGACCTTAAATTCATCACCACCTTTCATTGTCCTCTCCCGGCCTATCTGATGTATGGCAGCATTAATAATAACCGCTGCCGAATGCCCGGTCGCCCTCTGTGCCGTTGCCCACTCGCCCGCCCGCGCAGATTACCACTAGCCATTCACAGCCCATTAAAACTGTATTTACTTATCAGCCTCTCCGGGAGCTGTTTTCAAGGCCGATGCCCAGAGGGATGGCAAAGAGTGACCTTCCTATAGTCCGCAGTGCTGTAAGTCACCAGTTTAGTTCCAAATAATTTGCCCTTTGACTCCACCAAAAGCAAAAATGAGCCCTTTTCTGTTTTTTTTTATTTTTTAAGCGTACTGTAAAACATTTAGATTAATAAAAACATACAGCTGTAATATCTGTTTATTGAATATTAAGCTATAAACCTCAGCCAGTTAGCTTATCTAAGCACAAAAACAATTAATCCTCTGTGTCCAAACGCTTGCCCACTAAGTATCGAGTATAAAATGTGGCTTTTTACGGGGGGTTTTATGTGCCACACTAATTGTTGCCTGGGAGCAGAAACTTCCTGCAGTCATGGTGTCAAAAAATAAATGGAATCTAGAGGAGCATACGTAGCAACTAGCTGACTGAGCACTTACAAGAGACCAAAAAATAGAGATAAAATAAGGATGAATAATTGAACACCTTTCCGCCAGTGGCCCGACACACAGGTCCAAATTAATGCTAATGTTACTGTGCGTCTGCTTGATGTGCAAAGGCAAAAATGTTAGCTGAATCACCTTCAAACCAGATAAGACCTGAGTGTTTTCTGCTGCCTCGGTTTCGCTGTGTGCCCAAAATGAACTTGTTTAACTGGTTTAATATGATTCAATTTATGATTGTTTCAACGCATTTCTCTTCTGAACCACTTAAAAGGTGAATATTTCAATGTAATCAGGGCACAGGGAATTGAATGCATTACTCTGCATCTGTCTCAAAGTATTTTAGCCAGAGCAAAGAGTTTCCTACAGATGTGGCTGACTGCATGTGAGCACACTATATTTGACAGACAGTTGAGCAATCATGATAGCGTGAATGGAATAAGGTTAACTCTCCTCATTCTTCCACAACCAGACGGTTCTTTCTTATCACTTATAATGTGTCATAGTCTACTTTTGGTGTGCTTATGACTTCCACTGACCTTTAAAATAGCTGATTTACTTCCATCCACAATCTTCACTTGGCAATGCACTGCCAGCACAAAAGGATATTAGGACCAGACTTGCTGGTCTGATAATTCCGGGTCTCTGTATGGAACTGAAGGAAACCAAACCACAATGCCCCGCCGCTCGATTATCATTTCTCTGCCTCCACTTTCACCTTCCCAGCTGCTATTCAATCACCTTTCACCTCAGAGTGTGCAGCTTTTTTCAGGCGCTGAGCAGTTCTCTGTGTGGTCTCTTTTATTACATCTTAAAAGTACTCCGTATCCATGGTAATTAACTTCTCCTTTTATGCATCAGCCTCCCGGGACAAAGTAGACAGCTTTTGCGAAGCCCGGAATACTTTGTAGCTGTGTAAATCTCCCCAGCGTTGGGACAGCCACCGTGCCTCCAGCCCCGCTGGCAGCGCTGTGTGATAGAAATAGAGAGCATCTCAAAGGGTAACAGGTCTAAATGTTTAATAGATTCTTATTTTACTTGAGGTAATCTGGTGATCAGAGGTTTGGAGGGGTTACATCTATCACCCAGGGAACAAATAAAAGTCTTATTGTGTCCTGCTGCCTCTCACCTCAGGAGGAAATGTGAACCAGATAAATGATAGCCTTGTTTCAAGAGAGGCTCAATCTATTGCCCACGATTTGTGGCCAACAAAGTAATTTCGATGGCGTTCTTTCTATTGATAAATGGGGTCTGAATTTGATAAAGTGCCAATTTACTTGTAAGCGGTAAAGGAATGGAACTGCAGTTATCTTCCCTCTTGCTGTCCCCCCTTTGCCTCCAATCTACCAATCCGGCTCGAAATTAGATATATAAAACATGACAAAGCTACGATTTGCTTAGCACCATTATGCATCAATACCTGTCTATGAAATGTTAGTGACTAAGTACATATTTTGTTGAATTGTATTGAATATTTTCTGTGTACTTTTAAGCTTTAATAAAGGACCAAAAAACCCCACTACCCAGTAGTTTAGCTAATGTTAACTTGAGCATTTCCTCTTTCTACTTCATGGAGAATACAAATGAAACTGGCTCAGAGGATTTTTGAAGACGGTGTTTTAAACCTTTCATTTTGATGACTACAGACAAACGTGACGTTTTGGGAACAGAATTTGACAATTGCTTGTCCCATAGTGATTTTTCTGAACCTCCTCAAGACGCTGCATGAATGCTAAGCCTGAGAACTGGAAGCGGGGGCCCCTGCAGCTGAGGGTTCTCATGGTCGAACACCAGATGTGTGTTTCCACCTACTGTTTTGGTTGTCTGACAAGAAACAGTGTGCTCTTGCGACCACGTGGTGGCAAAGGGACAAATTAACCTCTGAGTGAAAAAAATTGAGATTGTGTGCTTCACCCGTGGAGACCCCGACAGGTGTGTGCACAAAGTCTTAAGCACTCATCACTGGCAGATTTGTTAAAGTAGATTATTCATGAGCACATGGCTCGAAAAATTTAGAGTAAATTGAGCGTGTTTGGACAATAGCAAAAAAGACTTTAGCAACATTTGAGGGATTTTGAGAAGCCTGCCATGTGTTCAGGGAACAATGCTTTATTGATCGGGTGACTGAATGTGAAAATAATAATTTTCTTGGAAGTGACAAAATTAGAATTCATCAAGCCTTGATTAATCTGTTTCCCACTTCATAAGAGGAGCTCTCAGTATGGCAAACAGATTCTCCCAGGACTTTTTGTTGGCATTTATTCCCAGGTATACATTTACACAGGGGCTTGTGTTTGCCCCCATGCATGTGTAACACTGTGCACTCGTGCATGTGCCACACAAACCACTGATGCAAAACTCAGAGACCCGTGTCGGCCCGTGATGCACTGCTGCCACCTAAAGACTGGGTTTAAATCAACCCCTTTTTGGTCGGCAATAACCCAATGTATTGTACTTCACACAATATAATACAGACGGAACTACAGTAAAATTATTGTGATTATCATGTTATTTATTTGTCATTCAAAGGCATTTTACATAATATAATCCCTGGTTATTATTAGTGACCGAGCATTATTAATACAATGTAGGTGCAGTGCAACCTTCACATAAAGCGCTAACATTATGGTCCCAAAATAACTGAACACAACATTCCGATTTTTCTTTTTACTGAACCTCGCTTTTTAATTAAAGTCAGTTAAAAATGTGCAATTCCACCACCACACGGCATTTAAAATCAGACACACAGATGTGTTAAAATGGATATCTTCTGAAGAGAGGTCTGCTCAACTGCTTTCAAAGAAAGCCATCTGTCATCAAAAAACAGGTGTTTGTTTGTCAGATGCTTTCAGAATAATATATGTAAAGAGTATTTGTCAAAAGAATAGTAATTGAAATGCTGCTGTCTAACTAATGTGCCATATGGAAAAAGCGAAAGAAAATTGTTTGTAGTGGTAAAATATCTTGTTGGACACATTTTGTCTGTAAGAACATCAAACAAGAATACCGAATGGTAATCAATATCTTGATCTCTGGAAGAAATAGTCAAAATAAAAAACATCTGTTATTGTGGTTTGTCAAACATTAACCCACCAAATTCAATGTAAAACCATTACATGCTCAATAGTCAAAACACATCTTAAGTATTCAAAGCTCAATTTCTGGTAAAAAAAAAAATCAATTTCCTTTGTTACATATAGTTAATATATATAAACACAGACACCTTCGTATTCCTATATTTTACTTTATTATTTTCAAATGTCCCTTTTCTTTTGCCTATTTGACATTTATAATAGTTACGATATGGTAGTTATCATAAATATTGTTTTATATGAATATTCATTTATATACTGAATTGTTTGATTAAGATGTCCTTATTACGTTAAACTATTGGAATAAATGCAAAATAATGTGTGTTTGTTCCTATACCCTTCAAAATTCCCTGATTGAAGATTGAAATTAATGATTTGGAGCCTCCTTTATATACGCTTATTGATTATTTGTTTATAGATTAAATCGTTACCCGTTTATTAATTTCTCTATAAAAAAGTAGCATTTCAACATTTCGTTACTAAATCACAGAAAACATTAAGTCTGATATGACTCTTACAAGTGTCTGATTCAGTTGTGATGATATTAACCAGTTTATGTTTATGGCTGAATCATTTAGTCACCAATTATTTGGTTCATTCATCACATAACTGGCTATATTTGTCCACCAGAGCCCCTGAAACATACCTTTAAAGTTTCATCAAACTAACCACTACGGGGCGCTAGAAATACAAAATAAAATAGAAACATCAATAATTATCTGGCTAATATTGGATTTTTGTTCAATCAATACAAAACTTGCATATGTTTTATAGTTGTTGATTAATCAAGGACAGATTTTCGACACATCCACAAACCTGCTGGAAATCTCCAATGCATCCGTAGAAACGTGTCCCCAGACGTTGAGAAATATCACTGGCAGTAGTTTGAGTGTTATTAGACACAAGTGTGTGAATGTTCTCTGTGTTTGTTTAAACAGAAGAAGGGCTTGAATCTGATTATTTCTAGGCAATTTAATTTGTGTGTGGTTTTAGTTGTCGGTCTGAAAAATATTCATGTTTTAATCTAAATTTCCCATATAAGCAGCATGTTAATTTACTAATAAAACTTCTTCTTCTTCCACCATTATTCTAGATAAGAGAAAATCTGACATAACATGTTGGATCACAAGCAATCAAACCTCCATGTGTCTTTTGTATACAAACACTCATTAACTTAATATAGTTTTTGTTTAAGTTTATTTAAGTATTTTGGGGCTCCTCCTGAGTGATTCGTCGGGTGGATCCTCAAACACGTCCCGATGAAGTCCTGGTAGTCTGGAGAGAGAAGTGTGAGATCATCTGAAAGTGAAATGAAAGGAGCAGCATGCATCTATTGTAGTGTGTCTATTGTGCGGATCTATGTTAGTGTGTCATCTTACCGTAGAAGCTCTTGAAAAATGCATCTCTCTCGTCAAAACTGCTCACACCAAAGTCTATAAGGCGAACTTGCGGCACATCAGAGCACGTCTCAAACAGGGCGACTACGTGTGCTGCTCTGAATGGAGTCCTGCATGGGGCTCTGGGTGTCTGTCGGTCAACTGCCCGTTGAGAGTGCGTTTGTTGCCGCCTCTTGCTCCTAATCCTTCAGGACGTCCTGGAGAGTGCGAGATGGTTCCTCTGCAGGGGCGCACTGGCTCCAGTGGTACCAGGTATCACCTTTCCCTCTCAGCCTCACTGCATGTGAGGTTCTCTCCTCCACCTGGTATGGTCCGGTCCACCGCGGCTCCTCGCACCTGGTCCGCAAAATCTGAAACGAGAGCTCGTAGTTCGTTATAATGAGTTGCATACTCACCTGGCGGAGCTTCCGGGTTGGGCCTGAGCTTCAGGCCAGCACTACGTCCAGGGAACTGTCTCCCGGTGGTCAGTTCGTACGGGATGAAACCTGTACCCTGATTTACTGAGCTTCTAATGGCCATTCTCCTCTAACAACTTTCTCACCGCGTGTCCCGTGTGCTCCACAACATCATGTTTCCTTTTCTCAGTGGTATCTCCACTCACCTCCACCAACAACAGCCTCAATTGGTCATTTATTATTTTCCATCGATACCCCGGCGCTGGCTCCCAGCCGCCGTCCTCCACTTCTCTCTCGAATTCACCTTCCATTTAACAGCAGTCAACCAGTTCGTATGTATTTAACCCGGGCAGACAGCTATGTTCTGAAAGTTTATACTAACCTTTCAGAGAAAATGTTTGTGTCCACGAGCTTATGTTAGCCTCGCAGAATTAATTTATGCCGAAAGTTTATACTAACCTTCCGGAGTTAATGCGTCTGTGAGTTTATGTTAACCTCTCAGACTAAATTATTATAGCCACAAGTTTATGTTTTAACCTTGTGGTCTGTCTGCCCTGCTTAGAACATACTTCCAAAACTTATTTCTTAAAGTGCATTTCTCAACACATTTCATTTATTTATTTAATCACTCCTCTCTCTCCCTCTCCACACTCAGAAAGCGCGCTGTTTAATTTTACTGTATCCCAGCACCTCTCCAAGGGCTGCATCTATGTCTGAGTAAATCAAACACAGTTTTTAAGGAACTCTAACCTCGGGTCACCGACCCGCAGCCTTTCAGTGGTCCTCAAATCCCCAGGACGCCACACCTATCAGCCCCCTCAGGGTCTGAGGGGGTTGCCAAACCAAAGACCAGGATATTGAGCGCCCTTCGATTCCTTTGATTTATGCCGCATACTCAATCCCCTTGATACTCGCAGGTACCCACTAAACAACAGTCATTATTTCTTATTCCAGAAATTAAGTACTGCAGAACTTTTCCCGTACTCTGCGGTGTTCAATCAGTTTCCCATCGATGCTATTTTAGAGAATTGCTCAAGTATCAATTTGGCCACCAATTACACCACCAATCCACAATGTACTCCTGACTCTAGCTTATTCAATATGCAGAATTAGACGTTTACGTGAGGGCGACTACGTGAGGGCGACTACGTGAGGGCGACTACGTGAGGGCGTTTACGTGAGGGCGACTATGTTGGGGCGACTACGTATGGGCGACTAAGTGAGGGCGTTTACGTGAGGGCGACTACGTTAGGGCGACTACGTGAGGGCGACTACGTGAGGGTGTTTACGTGAGGGCGTTTACGTGAGGGCGTTTACGTGAGGGCGACTACGTGAGCGCAGCTATGTGAGGGTGTTTACGTGAGGGAGGCTACGTGAGCGTGACTACGTGAGGGCGATTACGTGAGGGCGTTTACCTGAGGGCGACTACCTGAGGGCGTGTACTTGAGGGGAACCACTTGCGGGCGACTACTTGAAGGCGATTACGAGAGGTATTTCACGTAACTTTTTTCACGTGATTTCGATGAAAGAGGGCCACTATACGACCGTCTTTGCTGAGGGTGCCTTTCCCCCAAGATATGCAGGAGGTTTAAAAGGAGAGGTTTGCTCTGTCATTGACCATACAATTTATCCAGACGCCTCCCGGCAAACATGACTACAAACTTTTCCCAGAACGCAGAGGAGAGCCCGGAGCCGCGCAAGGCAGAAGTCAAAGGTATGACGAGTTGACCATCGAGTTTACCGGCTCATGCAGCGACTGACGGTTCGCTGCTTCTCCGCGTTGTTGTCCAGGGAACATTCCCAGCTGGCTGCAAGGCACCCTGCTGCGCAATGGCCCCGGCATCTTTTCCGTGGGGGGTCACCAGCTACGACTACTGGTTCGACGGGATGGCGATCATGAAAAAGCTTCGCCATTAAAAGACGGTTCGTCTTGGGCTTGTTGGGGTTTTTTTTTGCGCATTTTTTGTTAAATCATTGTTTTCATTTACGCGAAGAGATTTCTAAACTCA